ATTGGCATTAAAAGAAATAAATAAAAAAGAGCTTATCTTTTATAGAATGTCTTAATCTTAATGAATGTCAACAGGTTTTCATATTTTTAGAATCAAAACATCAGAATTAGATACAAAAATATCCAAGGAAATAGTTTTGCATTGAACAAACAATAAGCCTCAAAGATTTCTCCAAATTGCCTTGTGTACCTTTTGGTATCCAAGCAAAGAGCACGTACCTGTAAATATATTCCATCAAAATATACCACAGTATTGATTCTACACTATGTCTTTTGAAAAAACGAAAAAAAGATTTTTTTTTCAAATTAGAAGTTGTCATGATGACATATAACACAAAGCCTTGGTTACTACTCGAGATCTACGATTACGTCACCATAGTTACAACTCCCACGTTTAACTCTATCATAGCAATTTTTTCCTATTGATCAGTAGTCATTCTCTCCGAAATATTTGGAAATACCACTTGCTGACTATGTTCCGAGACAGTATGTGTGTTTGTGTGTGATTTAGGCTGTAGATTAGAGTGATTTGATATGTAAATACATCTTATACATGGAGTTGGGTAATGAATATATTTTATGCCTGAATTCGTGGTCATATAATCCTACATGTTTGATAAGACACACTCTAGAACAAATTTACAATAAAAGTGGCAACAACACTTAAAATCAACAAAAATACAAAAATAGAAAATTTGTAGGTATTTCTAAATCATATAGAAATATTTCATTACACACATTTGGTCATTTACATGATAAGAACACACTATAATTGGCTTTGACTTGTCAAAGTCTGGAAGTCGTTACAGGCTTAAGTGAAACAGGGTCCTTATCTGCTTGTTGCAGTTTCCACAAAAATGAGAAAATGATATAAGAATGCAATACAGTCTTGACAGTTCAATTAAGAAGCCTCCGAAAGAATAAACAGAATTTTACTAACAAAATTAATATTGATTCTGTATTTCCTATGGTCTGGTTGCAGATCATGGAACTGACATTTCAGAGCCATGACCATAGATTTCAGTCACAGTATAAAATCAGAATGGAATCATGATTTTGATGAATTCGATAGCATGTTTGTTAACAGTACATCAATGTCAGTATAAAATCAGAATGGAATCATGATTTTGATGAATTCGATAGCCAGACCATGGAACTGACATTTCAGAGCCATGACCATAGATTTCAGTCACAGTATAAAATCAGAATGGAATCATGATTTTGATGAATTCGATAGCATGTTTGTTAACAGTACATCAATGTCGGTCTGGTTCCAGACCATGGAACTGACATTTCAGAGCCATGACCATAGATTTCAGTCACAGTATAAAATCAGAATGGAATCATGATTTTGATGAATTTGATAGCATGTTTGTTAACAGTACATCAATGTCAACAGCCATGTCAGTTCTGAAATTTGAAATTGAAAGATAACAACATCATTCAATTTTAGACTCTAGATATTCATTGAAAAGAATTATAAGTCTTCATCCATTTTTCATGGGATTAACCATAAAAATTCCTGGGCTCATACAAGATTTATATATTCCCTCTCCCCACATCGAACTGACAATTTGTACTAACCCTCTGCTACATGTCGGTCCCCCTGGAATGTGTTATAGTTGGCAGGAGATTCAGGATGTTTGGCTCCGTCATACACATCCTTTCATCACCTCAGAGTCATCTTCTGTCAGTCTCCATCAGAACCAATTTCTTCAAACAAATTCAACGGAAACCTGTAGATTCAGACTTTGTGCATATTATGTATATATGGCTTCAGTTTCATGACTTTGTGGTTTCACATTGTGTTTTATACTGTATTCTTGTAGAATCTCAGAATCAAAACTTGAAAAAGATCTTTCCTTTTGAGATACTGTTACAAGAATATCAATGTAGATAAACTCAGAATTGGAGCTTTTTCATTGTTTACATGCAGATGGTGAAAACGTTATATTTTTTCTATATATTTATATCTGTTACAGCTTCTGCCAGAATTGATTTGTTGGTAACTGTGGTGCTTTATTGCAAAATAGAGGAAGTTAAGAAATATTCAAACTTTTTCAGTTAAAAATAAATAAGATTTTCATAGAGACTTGTTTACCAACCTACCGTTAGTTTTAAATTTGTTTTTTCCTGACACAAAAAGAGAATTGCACAGCTGTAGGCTTAAGCTGTAAACTCTCTTGTTGTGTGAAACTGGCAGAATTAATGTTATAACGTTATACAATGTCATCCAACTATGTAAAAAGATCAATGTAAAATTTGCATGAGAACATTTTTTTGTGCATTCGTGCTTCTGTGTAAGCTTTTAGTGATTAAATGTTAAGTTCATGCATTGTTTAGTTTAACCGATTTCTTAAGGCATAAAATCGGAAACAGTTGCATACAGTACATTCTATATTTGTCCCTTGAGACACCCAGGAATGATCCAGTTCAACTTAGTTGCATTGTGATGGAAGATAACACAAGTTTGATCTTTCATTTATACTCCACTGGTACATATCAGTTTACACTTTTGGGCGTCAGTCCATTACCTGTGTCCATGTCACTAAAATTCAGGATATATTGGTATATACCCTTCCAACTGTGAAATTTTATGGGCATGTACCTCTTAGTGTCTCACATAAAAAAAAGCACTGTTACAATTTATACAGAGTTATAGTCCTTTGTTTACCCTCAAAACCAACTCTGAACTGGTGATTGGTACTCAAGGTTGCTTGTAGAACTCTGTTCAGAACAGGCCTTTAGTTCTCGGAGAACAAACACTCAAGGCGCAACGGTTAAAGCATTTTGAAATAATGATTCATATATGACACATTTGAAAGACATTTGAAATTTTAATGCAAAAATGACATATTTCTGTGGCCTGCTTGAGATTCAGAAAACAGTGGTAGGTATAAGATGGATCATCAATGCTTAAGAAATGAAGCCCATCATCTTTGTTAAGTTTTTAAGCCTTACACACAACACTTTGTGTTAAATTCTTTCCTCATTGCACAAAAGATTTTAAATAGTGTTGACTTTACCAAAGACCTGATGTGACGAAGTCAGAACAGGAAAACTGGCAATCTACAGTTTAAAAGTCTTTTTACAAACTGATGATGTAACAAATTCAGTCAGGCAGCATAGTGATGATGTAACAAATTCAGTCAGGTGGCATAGTGGTGATGTAACAAATTCAGTCAAGCAGCATAGTGATGATGTAACAAATTCAGTCAGGCGACACAGTGATGATGTAACAAATTCAGTCAGGCAGCATAGTGATGATGTAACAAATTCAGTCAGGCGGCACAGTGATGATGTAACAAATTCAGTCAGGCGGCATAGTGGTGATGTAACAAATTCAGTCAGGTGGCATAGTGGTGATGTAACAAATTCAGTCTGGCGGCATAGTGGTGATGTAACAAATTCAGTCAGGTGGCATAGTGGTGATGTAACAAATTCAGTCAGGCGGCACAGTGGTGATGTAACAAATTCAGTCAGGTGGCATAGTGGTGATGTAACAAATTCAGTCAGGCGGCATAGTGGTGATGTAACAAATTCAGTCAGGTGGCATAGTGGTGATGTAACAAATTCAGTCAGGCGGCATAGTGGTGATGTAACACAATTCAGTCAGGTGGCACAGTGGTGATGAAACAAATTCAGTCAGGTGGCATAGTGGTGATGTATTCACCTTTCATCTAGACTGATTCCCTGAATGGATGTAAAAAAGTAGGAGGGGCTCACCTGCTTAATCAGATGGGTTTCCTTCAGGTACTCAAGTTTCCTCCCACAGTCAGACCTTCATGAGCTTCCATCCAGACCAACAAGAGAAATTAGTATAAATTGGAAAACTTATTTCACAATGGTTGGAAAATAATGATAACATAAAAAATTCAATCTATATATGAAAAATATTATTTAAGTCAAATTATTTCATTTTAAGATATCTCAAATTTTAAACAAAACATTTATTCTTGGGGTCCAAATTTATTGACATAAACAGGAGAATTAGATTCCATTGTAAGACTTACCTTTGGTAAGTATATGAATATTCCCAACTGTAAAACGGGTTAGAATTCATTCTGCTTGTGTATCTGTGAAAGGTGTTACATAATACGGTACAATTTATTGTGTTATCAAGGTAATAGAGTTTCACCTCTCCACGATACTTTATAATGATTCTGAGTATTGAATAGTTGGTTAGGGAGACAAACCAACCCATATCTCTTGCTTAACGATTATTTATGAAGTAATTAGCACGATCTGATCATCTTGTGTTATCTTATCAGCTCCTCTTAACATTAGATCGATATTTTTAAGGGTTGTTGAGTCTCGCACACTGAGGAATGCATACACTACTTTAAAGCTAGTGTTGCTGTGGTTATCATACAATTTGAATGTTATTTCTATCTGTCAATAATCACAGTCATTCAGATGTTTTACAGACCTTTGTTAAAATAGTACATTTTCATTCTTTTGGAAATCACATCAGTCAAAACAGTGAAGTTATCCCCCTCCCCCATTTTATTTTAAGCTACATGAGCAGATATTCTTGTGTTTAGAGAAAATAGATGCTCTGTTGTAGCTGCATTGCTTTTGGCAGTGGAGCACTTTCTATATTTTCACGAGTTATTTCCCCTTGTTCTTAGTGCAGTGATGATACCTGTTTTCCTCTGTGGTTTGTGCCTGTCATCAGAGACATATATGTGTTATATATGTCTCAGCTGTCATTAGATAAAGGGAAATTGAGATTCACACTTGACATATCCATTATTTCCTGACAATCCTATATAACAATTTTGACCTTCACAACAAACAGTCAACTTCCAAAATAACAAAGTTAGAAAGAATGACACTTTGGCAAAAATGAACTTTTCTTCAAACCCTGTCAGTCTCATTATATCCCTTACATATTAATTTACTAAAATAAGATATTTTGAAATGATTTCTTTGCTGTAGAGAAAATTTTAGGTATATTTAAAATTTTACTGATAGAGTTATTTACCTTGTGTGTTACAGGAAGCAGGACCTGCGGGAGCTGAAGATGCTCCAGAAGCAGGAGAACAAGCAATACCAGGACTTGCTTTACAAGGCACAATGTGCGAGAGAGGGACAAGAACGCCGCTTCGATATAGACATGCAGGTTCGTGTTTCTTTACCTACTTCTCAGAAGCTGTAATTATGTACCAGAAATCATAAAAAAATATCTACATCTGAATCATCTTTTCTTCTTCAGGACATCTCTGGATGATATTTCATACCATTTAGAACACTTAAGAGATATCTATAATGTAAGAATCGAAAGAGACAAACATGTGTAGCCTAGATGTCTCATATGATTTCTGTGGAAAATGCATCTTTTTTACTCCAAACTTTTGACAAAACTGAAAGAAAAAAAAATCATTACAATATTCATATGATTAATGAAAGGTAAGAAAAAAAATGTTTATTTTATATATTTTTTTTTCTGACCAGAAATTGGTCCAGAACTATGATCAGGATATGGAGACATTGACAAAACAGCAGAAACAACAGGTGGAGAGGGCAGAAACGACACAACAGATGGATATGAAGTCTGCTGGCAAGCGCATCAAACTGGAGCAGGTTAATTCATTTTAAAAACTTTCATTGTCCAGACAAGTGATTAAGGAATAACGGAATGTGTGTCTGATACAACTATATATAGGACAGATATTCTAAATTCAGAACTTTGGTTGCGGCTCCCTGCTGGGAAATCCCATCATATCTTGAATCAAATGATCTCAAGTGACTTTATTTCTGCAGTGATTTGGAATAAAAAAATTCTCTAAATGTCAGAATGAGGACATTTCTAATAAGTCCATGTTTCAATGATTTGATTAAAAATGCTCAGTATTGAAGTGGAATTGAGGATGTTTGTGTCTCAAAAATAGTATTTTTCCGAAAATTGATATTAGAAAGTCCATGATATCACAACTTAATTCAGGAAAAATTCATGAAATTTGGTCTTTGTTATAAATTTATTATCACCGAAATACCAGTTCAAAATGTCAGTCATGTAATCTGAATTCTTTATTTATTTTGATTATTTTGTTGTCAGCGTAAACAGCCCTACATAAACAGACAGCAGACAATATTTACGAGTATTTTACTTTCTTGATTATCATTGTTCTAATTCTGATACTTTTTTTATTTGTTAAACATGCATTTCGTCCTCCAATTCCTACATACAGCTGCTCCTAATTGGCAATAACACCAGCATGTTTCATGTCTAAAAGCATCACAAAAAAAAAAGATGCATTTATTAAGATGTCTTAAGACAATACAAAAGATATGGGAGCACTCTTTTTGTGATGTCACAAGATATGAATACTGAAAGAGTTCAACTGTATAAAAACCTTGACACGTACAAAATTATATCACATGTCTCAACTTTTGTCCATAGTAATTTCTCTGATTTGTAAAACATGATGGGATTTCTTTCAAGCAAATTTTGATATATATCAGTCACAAAATTTGAATTTTTCTTTTCATCAGGAAAAGGAATATAAAACATTTAAAGAACAACAAAAGCAAGAGATGAAGCTGCTGAAACAAGAACTTGATTTGATGCCCAAAGACAATAAGAAAGAAAGTGTGAGGAAGAGGAAAGACCAGAAAGAGATTGAGCTGGCAGAAAAAGTAAGTGGAAGTCAAAATGGACGTAAGCTTGGATCAATGTTTTACAAGTTTCAGGACAAAGAATTGGCTCTGTGGTGTTAGAATGTCAAATCTTCAAGAGTTGTATGAATAGAGAAAATTTTGGGATTATGGAAATTTTGAATTTTTCGAAAAATGAAACAGAAAGAGAAAAAATCTGTTGTTCAAGTTGATTATGAAAGGTTCAGGGGTTGTAAGTTATGAGGTGGAAAGTTTAGGGTCAAATGGATAGTTACTAGAATAATTTAGGGCTCATAGATTGGGGGTCAAAATGCATCAACATAGATTTTAAATGATTAAGGTCATAGAAAGAAAAGAAAAGTAAGTGGCTATGATGAATAGCTATGAAAAGATTATAGGAAATAAAAACAGTCCAATACGGGACAGGATTAGTAAAGCAAGGGAGTTAACTCTAACATTCAACATAGATGTTATCACTTGTTTAATAAGACAATGTTTTGAAACCAGAACTGGTTTAAATAATAAAACTGAACTTTGTTACAGGAGCGACAGTTCTTTGAGAACCAACAGGAGAGAATGGAAAAGCACATGAAACAGCTTTCAGATACTCATCGCCAGAAGGTGGCGCTGTTGGAGAGTCAGTTCCTACAGCAGAAACAACAGTTGCTCCGATGTAAGTAAACCTCTGGCTATCTGCTTCAGGCCTCTACCTGAAGTAGATTTTTTAACTGTGAGAGAGACTAGACTTTAAGATATAAATGTCTGTTTCGTGTTTTACCCAGAAATTTGTTTTTTCAATGAATAGTAAGGCTATACAGATATAATTTTTTATCAATCATCTCTCTCATCGTGTTTTCTCCTCATTTTTCCTACAGCCCGAGAGTCTGTTATTTGGGAGACAGAAAAACAACAGCTCCATGAAAAACACCAACTGGCGAAGAGTCAATTGAAAGACATGTTCTTCCTTAAGCGACACCAGATGCTCACTCGTCACCAAAAGGTAGATAACTCTAAATGAATATTTCTTTTGTTCTGAGATATTTTAAAGAAAGATGGCATTAGAAAACATACATATTGGTCTGTTTGCTGTTCTATGTAAATGGATCACCCCCGGTTCTGTTTGCTGTTCTATGTAAATGGATCACCCCTAGCTCTGTTTTCTGTTCTATGTAAATGGATCACTCCCCGTTTCTGTTTTCTGTTCTATGTAGATGGATCACTCCCCGGTTCTGTTTGCTGTTCTATGTAGATGGATCACTCCCTTGCTCTGTTTGCTAATCTATGTAAATGGATCACACCCTTGTTCTGTTTGCTGTTCTATATAATTGGATCACACCCTTGTTCTGTTTGCTGTTCTATGTAAATGATCACACCCTTGTTCTTTTTGCTGTTCTATGTAAATGAATCACTCCCTGTTCTGTTTGCTGTTCTATGTAAATGGATCACCCCTTGCTCTGTTTGCTGTTCTATGTAAATGGATCACTCCCTTGCTTTGTTTGCTGTTCTATGTAAATGGATCACTCCCTTGCTCTGTTTGCTGTTCTATGTAAATGGATCACTCCCTAGCTCTGTTTTCTGTTCTATGTAAATGGATCACTCCCTTGCTCTGTTTACTGTTCTATGTAGATGGATCACTCCCTTGCTCTGTTTGCTGTTCTATGTAGATGGTTCTCTCCCTAGCTCTGTTTTCTGTTCTATGTAAATGGATCACTCCCTTGCTCTGTTTACTGTTCTATGTAGATGGATCACTCCCTTGCTCTGTTTGCTGTTCTATGTAGATGGATCACTCCCTTGCTCTGTTTGCTGTTCTATGTAGATGGATCACTCCCTTGCTCTGTTTGCTGTTCTATGTAAATGGATCACTCCCTTGCTGTGTTTGCTGTTCTATGTAAATGATCACTCCCTTGCTCTGTTTGCTGTTCTATGTAAATGGATCACTCCCTTGCTGTGTTTGCTGTTCTATGTAAATGATCACTCCCTTGCTCTGTTTGCTGTTCTATGTAAATGGATCACTCCCCTGTTCTGTTTACTGTTCTATGTAGATGGATCACTCCCTTGCTCTGTTTGCTGTTCTATGTAGATGGATCACTCCCTTGCTCTGTGTGCTGTTCTATGTAAATGGATCACTCCCTGTTCTGTTTGCTGTTCTATGTAAATGGATCACTCCCTTGCTCTGTTTGCTGTTCTATGTAAATGGATCACTCCCTTGCTGTGTTTGCTGTTCTATGTAAATGATCACTCCCTTGCTCTGTTTGCTGTTCTATGTAGATGGATCACTCCCCGGTTCTGTTTGCTGTTCTATGTAAATGGTTCACTCCCTTACTCTGTTTGCTGTTCTATGTAAATGGCTCACTCCCTGTTTATATGTATTCCATAGTTTTGAATCACTACCTGACATCCTTTAATCTTAATGTGTACAGGAAGTGGAGCAGATGAAGCGCAGTAACACCACTAAAGAGGAAGAGATGACAAGCCGGCACACGCTGGAAAAGAAACGTCTCCCGAAAATCTTAAAAAGCGAGGCCAAAACACGTGCCAACATGTTCAAACAGAGCTTACGCCTTAGTACCATTGGTTCACCAGAGGACGACCGTGCAAAAATGAAACAGGTTAGTATGCATCACTTTATCCATTTCAAGGTGATGTTTAGGTGTAATACAGTTTTATTTCATGTGTTAGCAGGCCAGTTAAATATTTGGTACACTATCATTTGGAAACGTGACTGGTAAGAAATCTGACATTGTCTGATTTTGTTTTTGAACAGAGGACGGAACAAAAGGAGATCCTGGTATTTTTTTTTTCTTTTGATGAATTTCGTTCATTGATTTTATGCTTATTCCAGTTTGAGGAAAATGAGAAGAAGCGGATGAAGGCAGAACAACAGCGCCAGGAACAGAAACACAAACGGCAGTGGGAGGAGCTTGTGTTCAGGAATGACACCAGTCTAAGGGAACTGGAGGCCCTACAGGTATCAACACACAATCTAAAACGGCACCAGAATCTCAGAAAATTTCAAATTAATTAGGTGCTAACATCAAACTAAGAATATGAGGAGTATAAAGGAATATACCACTGATCCAGTTGTGTTGCTTTAAGAAAGCTTTGCCGAAGATTTCGTTCTACTGTATTTTTATTCTTAACATAAGAAGACATTAGTCTGTTTTTTAAAAGAAATGAAAAGCAAACAAACAAAACTATTGAAATTAAGCAAAAAATATAATTATATTCTGAACTTAGAGTACGGTGCACAAAACTTGGTGTTGTAAGGGTAATATTCCAGACATGTTAATTACAAATGATGCAAAAAAAAATAAAATAAACTCTCTAATGTAATTGGTCAGAATATGATGTGACGGTTTTGTAATTTTGAATTTGAAATTGAAACGGTGAAAATTCTGTATGATTGTAACTAAAGTGATTACAGATAAGGGAGATAATATGTAGGTCATTATATTCCATTCATTCTCAAGTATTGCATTATTAATGTAATTTTAGGCGGAGAAACGAAAAATGTTGATGGAGCACGAGACACAGAAAATTAAGGAGTTGGACGATCAGTATGCAAATGAGCTACGTGAGTGGAAGAACCAGCTTACGCCGAGAAAACAGGTAAAGACATCTTCTCACACTACAACTGTAGGCTAGGGTTGAAACAAATAGCGGCTTTTCCCTATGTTTTCTTTTCTTATTTTTAGAGCTTATTTGCATCAGTATTTGCTTTTGTAGTGAAATTTGTCTTTTTGTAAACTTCTTCTCTTCCTCGTGGTATTTTCTTAGAAAAGATTTAGAATTTCTACCTAAAAAAAAAAAAATTGATTCTGTTATGCTTGGCTATATTGATACCGAAAATGGCAGTTCTATGATGACTGGTTGATTTATCTGATATGATCTTCAGGTAAATAATTTTAATAGGGACTGAAAAAAAAAAATCAAAATGTTCTTTTTCATTGAATTCTGAATGTTTTTAATTAAAGTCTACAAGTGGCGAGCATTCTGGAGGGAAGGCAAGAACAAGCAAATGAAGCAAATGTTCAGAAAGTAACAAAATATTTGTTTTTGTGTTTGCAATTTCATATTTCTTTTTATAATCAAGTACTTCTTTCAGCCTTTGAATTTTGATGTGATGTGGCTGTCAAAATTCATATTCAGTTGTCTGGAATTTAAATTTATCATGTCATATTTTCATGCACTGAGTGTTTTGTATGGCATGTGCTGTGTATTTTATCTGTGATCTGTTGATTTACATTATATTATAACCCATTCTTACATAATATTTATGTAACATATAATTTATGTAGTAAATTACGATGCTATCCCGTTATTGGTTAGTGTTAAAATTGTTTATTGGGATTGTCACTTTTCAACAGTATTAGATTATTTCGAAAGAAAATAAGCAAATTTTAGACCAGAAAATAGACAAGGATGTGATGTCTTATTTTTGTTTCAAAATCAAGAGAAGTCCAAATATTAATTTTTCTAGAACTTCTTGGCAAGAAACATAGAAAATAAATACCTGGAAATTTTAAGTGAAAGGAATGGGCCACAAAATGTTAACATTTAAACTAGATCATTCTTAAAACAGGGACAAGAACATCAAATAAATTTCATTGTAGAGGAGAAATGAACATTGTGTAAATTTGAAGAAAGAACATTGAACCCTTTTCAGTGGAGAATTTTGAACCGAAGATGGAGAAGCGGTTACCTGTGTAATTTAAGCACTGATCACGATATTCATTATTTCTCACATATTCTATCATTATCTAACACAAAGCTTTGAAAATGCTTCAATCATTGTATAGAGAGAAGTAGCATATTGATGTTTTCTTTTCTTCGTAATTGTTAGGATAGGTTTTTGAATTGAATATCTATCATGGGTGTGACATTTCAATTATTGTATTTATACTATTTTGGTATTTCTTAACTTCTGTTCAGAATGGCTTGCAACTTTTCATTCTGTCATTTTGTAGTGCAAAGTTTTCTGCTCTTGTGCAGAGATACTGATGGTTGTGTCGTTTGTTTGTGAGAGTAATGTTATGAGAAAAGATGTCATTTTCTCCGGCAAACTGATGATGTAACAAACAATACATGCTCACAAGAGAAGATAACTCTACATTACAAGAAGCTAGAATATTGAATGCACTGATGCCAAGCATAGCACCCAACACTTTCACTTGTGACTCTCGTATCAAATACGGACTGATTTTAAAATAGACAATTAATATATATTGCTTGTAAGCATTATTTATTTGTTTATTTATTTATTTATCATAGAATTGCTCGAACATATACAATAGCCTGAAGAATGAACTAGCTGAAATTTACACTTTAGGCCATTCTGCAATCACTTTAATTGTACAATTGTAATAGTTTCGTTCAATGTACTTTTTGAAAAGACAGTCTCACAGCAGTAAACAGCTGTTGACTTTAGATGATGTCATTATGCTGTTCTGTTAACCCACTCTGTAACAGAAGATAACTATTAACTAATAGGGATAACTTACATTTGTTTAACACACCAATTTACTATGTAATGGTACACTACTTATTTCATGTTGTTCAAAACTAATCGAATTTTTCGCAAAGTTATTTTCTTGCATTGAAAAGCTAAGATGAAAATCAGAAAATATATTGAATGTATTGGGGAAAAAAATATTGAGGGGAAAAGGGAAAAATATTATATGAATTGAATGGTTATTTATTCAGAGTCAAATTACTGTAAAACCATATATTTTTGTGGGGCTCAATTCTCATGGATTCTTTATTTTGTGGATAAATATAGCTCATGAATTCTTATTGTAATTTTGATATTTTGTGGACATATGAACTGGTGGATTAAGAATATCAAAGTCAACAAAAATTAATTCCTGGACGAAACATTCGTTTTTTGAGGGGGTGGGGTAATTGGTATAATTGGTCCTAAATAACTCTAGTTGTTTATGGACTGTGAATAATCAAATAAAATTTTTATAAACTTTTCAATTAGTTTTGAACAACCGAGTTCAGCTGGTGTACACACCAAGCCTTATTATGGGTATTAATTTGATATTTATCCAAATGGTAGATATTGAAAAAAAAAAAAAATCACAATGAAGTATCAAAATTTTATGTGCAATTTTTCACAATGGCTGAATTTCAGCAAAATTTGCTTGCACAAGTCATTTTACAGAGTCGTAAGTACAGAATGTAACTCGTCCGATTTCTGGTGAAAATTGTTGACTACTTTTCCCTTGCATGCTATTGGTTGAAAGTTTCCAAGTTATTTCATATCATATGACTGCTGTCATTTTGAAATATAGTAATATTTTTTATATTGAAATAGTAATTTTTGTTTAAACCAAAAAGAAAGACTTTGAAAGTGAAGAAAAAGAAAATTTCAAGACTCCTTTATCCTTTTGATAATGGTGTGTTCTCAAAAATTAAAAAAAAAAGAAACAAATAAAACAGAAACAAAAAAACCCACAACTTTTGATAGTACTGTTATTATCCTGCAATATGCCCAGCGGATGAATACATGACCACTGACTCAAATTTGGAGGGGGATGGGCTTATTACAGAACAATGGTACAATATTTCATTGCATATCTACCAAAATTACTATAACTGGAGTTGTTGGACATGGGCTTATTGTTGGATAAATACAGTGTTTTGATGATCAGGTTTTACAATCAATACATCTATTAAGATGTTCTAAGTCATATGATGAAAGATTATTTGTCAGTGTAGGTCTAAAATGAATTTATCAAACTCTGATGTTGGGCACATGTTCTACTTGTAACTGATAAGAACATCGTTTGATCTATTCCATCCTTTAGATCAACACTCCCTATTGATCCTTTAAGTATATCACACTTCCAAGTAAAATGTCTCTGTTCTAACACTTCAGCATTATCTTTCTCTATTTCAGCGCAAACAAAATTGATAAAGAAGATGGGTTGCAGTCAAATATCAAAATAAATAAAGATAATTGAATAAATTAAAAATGTGGGGGAAGTTTTTAAAACCAAACCCAGTGTAGTACCAACTAATGGAAAAGAGATAAAAAAAAAAAAAAATGAAATAAAAAATTAAATATTGACAGTGCAATTTATTTGTTTCTGTCAATTTTTTCCACTTCTGTTTCGAAGATTTTGGATAGCTATTTTTTATAATGCTCATGTCTTATCAATTTTATTGAGAATATATTCTGGAACCCATCTTCAAAACTTTTAGAATTGAAATGATTCTGTTGTTTTGATTACTTTTATGTTATTTTGATTTGTTTTAGCTGAAGATTTTAGTGAGTTTTAGGAAATGTTAGCATCAATTGATGTGACGAGTATAAATTAATTTGATTGATATGTATGTTAGAGCTCAAGGAAAAGAATGATTAGAATTAGCTTCATTTTTTATTCATTGTATATGTAAAAATACTTAAATTTTATCTTGTATAAAGGCAAAAAAAGTATTAAACAAATTTACTAACTAGACATTTGTTTCAGAAAATTATTCTGTATAGTTAAATGAGGCTTAGGGAACTAGTGTCTGATGTTGATATCTTAAATAGCACCTTTACCTGACAGTATGTTGGTGTATGATTGAATGTTATTTTGCATGTGTGTATGAAACAACAAGGTTACTAGTATGGTATGACTCAGATTTTCAATCCTGTTGGTTTGGAGAAAACAAAAAAAAAGGAATGGAGGTTCCCATAAATCCCTTTTCTGAAATAAATAAATTGGAATTTGGTATGGATGTAGATGTAGCTGGATGGGTACTAACAATGTTGAATAATTTGAGAGGGAAAAAAAAAACAAAAACAAAAAACAAAAACAAAAAACAAAAACAGAATAATTTTAAAATATGATTATTATGTTGATTTCCTCTATTGAAATAATACTACAAATATTGGCAAAAATTGATTTACACAAAAATTGATTTACACAAAAATTTATTTTTTTGAATTTTAAAAAAAGTCACATGTACATTATAGTTGTACTGATAATGATTTTGTTTTCACATCAGGAATTACTTTAACATCATTATCAAAAAGTACTGTAGAGAAATAAAGAATTTTATATCATATTTAGAAATTACTAGTGGAAAAAATGGATATTTTAATATTCTTTTTTATTGAGTTTACTTTTGTTTATTTTGTTAGTTTGAAAGGATACACCCCATGCAGAAGTCAGCATGTATGTACTTTCAATTTTTAATGTTACACTAAAGAGATCAGTCTTCACTTAACTTCATTTCTTTTTGTTTATTTTCATGCAGAAATTGGAAGAAGAATTCCAGAGACAGAGGGAGGAACAAGAGAAATTCTATGGTACTGTTCTGATAACGGGGAATGACGGAGGGCATCAATCCGCTCCTCGATCACAGCCCAACAGTCTCCGTGGTAACAAGGAGGATGGCGTGAAATCATCCAGACATTCGACTGTGATATGATAAACTGAACTAGTGTGTGTCGCTTAAGCCTTTCATTTGACTCTTGATGGGCTGGAACCACAGATTAATGTGTTCTCTTAAGATTTTTTTTTTTAAAATCGACAAGAGTATTGCTAAAAAGGAATCAGTTATTCAGAACTGTTGATACAGGAATTTTGATTGTTTTGAAATGTAAAAGAAAGACTTTGTAATGAAGGCAATTGTTTAATTTGAAAGAAAATTCAAATTAATCTGATATGTTTGTTTTCTGTATAAAAGGTAAACGTTATGCATGGTCTCAGTATGTGACTTTTAAGTCTACAAAGTGAATAAGGAAAAGACTTATGCATCTAGCTTTTTATTTGTGTTGGACTAGTATGTTATGATATAAGTTTTTACTACAAAAGCAATTTAGTTTGTTTATTAATGTAGGACGATTGCTGTGAGTGCTGAGACAGTAAAGTGTTGTCAAGTGTTGTCTCCCTTAGTTATTGGGATTGTCTCCCTTTGTTTATTAATCATTTATTGGTATGATAGAGTTTGTAATGTAATTTGATATACATGTAGGTGATTATTTGTTGGGTTCTCATAATCTTTAACTCTCTTTTATCAATTTCACTTGAAGAGAACATTTTGTTACTGTTTTTTTGTGCTTTGGTTATGTTATATACACACTATGTATGTTGTTAAAAAATGATTTTAAAAGTTTAGAGGAGATGTCTTTTTCATATGAATGATTTTCCTCTGTTTCCTATACCAATATCTACCAGACTGTTTGTAGTGTTAATAGTTTACAAACATTGATAAAAGTCTCCTTCAGTTACTTGAAATTGTGTCAAACAAATTTAAAACCTTGAAATCTTTTTTTTTGTTTTTTGCTTGAGGTCACAAATCTTGTTTCCTTGACATTTTAAAGCTTGCTTTACATAACAAAAAAGAATTCAATTTTGTCAGTCACTGATTAGCAATGGACAAATTCACTTACACATGGAGTCTTATTTAACAAAATAAAAATCTGAAGTGTCATGCTCAAGTATAAGGAAGAATTTTTTATTTATTTAAGGTGAATAATTCCTAGGACCGAATTCGCCTTCTGTCTGCATTCATTATGCAAAAACAGTAGTCTTTGCACAAACAATCAAATTTAAAGAGAAAAAAATGCAAATGGGATGAATTCAAATAAGTGGTGTATTTTTTCCTTCTTAGTGAATTTGTTCAGTTTAAGACTGTATTGTACAACATTGTGAAGAAAACTAGTTTAATTTTCACAACTGTGGAAAGCTAGCAAATTTTGTCATGTTAGAAGGAAAAATGCAACTAGAAGATAGTAGAATGAGGGATAACTCCGTTAAAACTAGCAGAAGGTTACATAAAAAATTAATTACGATCTTGATACGGAAAATCTGTGATACAACAGCTATTTGTATATGTTTGTATAAGATAACTCATAATTCCTTATCACATATAAACATGCAAAATGAATCCTAAATGTCAGTTTTATTTATTTCAGAAAAAAAATACTCGTCAATATTATTATAGGAAGTAATGATCAAAACTGATAAGTTTGTATATTTTGTATTATTTTGATATCTTATTCATTAGAAGATTAAAAGTGTAGAAATAGGTAGGTGATTTATTCCTGATACACTGCATAAACTAACACACAAAACAATCACACATTTTATATTAGATAATGAGATGATACAAATAGTGGTTGATGAAATTTCATGGAAAAGGATATTTTATTATGAGTGCGATTTGTAAAATTTTGTTTTTTTTCATTTATTTAATTTTTTTCATTGAGGCATTTAAAATTACATGTATGGGCAAAAATTGGTTCAGAATTGAAAGAAAGTGACAGATATTTTGTTTTTAGAAACACATAATGTATCCCTAATGAAAAATAAAATTAGAAAAAAAAAAAAGATGATGCACCTTACACATACATGTACATATTGTTAGTGATGTAGGCAATGAATGTTTGTTACTGAACAATGACAGTAGTGAAATATAGAGAAATACAGTGAAATGTATAGTGAAATACATTTATATACAGAAATATAGTGAAAATTGCAGATATTTTGGAAAATGTAAAAATAATTGTTACAGTACAATTTTGAATCTTCTTCATGTAAAATATGCTATGATTTAAATATACCTTTTATGTAACCAAAAATGAAGAAAACTAAATTCAATTTGCAGTAATTTTGTCCTTGTCTTTTAGCAAAAGATAGATGTCTTGAATATGCCGATAAACCTGTTTTTAAAAAACTAAATGAAATTGTACTTAATTTTTTTTACATTTGAATTTAAGTTCAGTAGCTATGTGTTAGTTTAAGGTAAATACTATGATTATGATATTTAATTTAAAAAGTAAATTGTGATATAATGGAAAATAACAGATCTACAGAACATTCCACAAAAATGATTAGAAAAGATATTTATTTTACTAACTAGGCTATTTAATTACTACCCACCCGTTAGAACGATTGTATCTGTATACATCATAAAGGGAAAGGAGATTTTATTTATCTTCTGAAGATGCAGGTTATCCAGATAATTCAACGCTTCATCAATACAGATTATGTAAGCACATCTTCTCTTGGTTGGATGAATACCTTGATGTGATTGTGAATTATTGTTTATAACTTATGAAAAAAAAAATGATGTATCAAATTCACGGATATTGTGTTAGTTATGCGATTTGTGCAATCCTGGTGTACACCTACTGTTGTTTGGTTCTCTATAATTCTGAGAAAAAAAGTGACAGAGAAGTGCCATATACTAACTATATATACAATTTTTTTTCGTCTTCGTTTTTATAAAAGTAGATTTTAATTTTGGAATTATTAGAAGATTAATAAGGGAAAAAATTGAATAGTATTAATACATTGTGTAAGATTTATAATTTTGATGAAGGTGTAAAAAAGAAAAGAAAATACATCAAGTGTTTGGTACTTCATATTGAAAATATTGGTGTAAGGAATGTTTGTTTGGCCTTTTATAATTATTAGTATTATTGTCATAGAGTATGTTTATTACAGTGCTTACAGAAACCGCAAAACCAATGTACATCTTTCTTTTACAACTAAATTCAATTCAGGTATAAATAAGTATCTGAATATTCCTTTTGGTCCCTCATAATGGATTCAATAATGCTAAGAAAATGGGCAAAAATATTTTTGTGGCCAATTAAGCAAGTGATATTGAGTCATTTCAGTAGCTCGGTATTGCATAGAAATAGCTTTTACTTGCCTTTCAATTTCAACTGCAATAATAATCAGAATTTACAGTAAAGAATGGTTTTCTGGAGGAAAAAATGTTAAAAGCTGAAATCTTTTGAGGCCAAATAATATCTTTTAAAAGAAATTTTGTTTTTTTTTCTCGAATGCTTTTTTAGTTTATGTTATCAGCTTAAACCAGTTTGATTAAGAAAATATCAGCAGTAGCAGAAATCTGTATCGTGTAAAGGGTAAAAATGATATATTCATGAATAATGTACAATCTTTTTTTTTTATTTGTTTCATGATCATTTGTCAGTAAATGTACCAAATCAAAATATTTTGAGTAAAACATTTACATTTGATAGCATTGATTGACAAAGAAAATAGTTCAGAGAGTTTTAAGGTGTACTTTAGAACAGCTTGTCACCGAAAATTTTATTAATGCAAAATTGACACTCATACCTACTATTGAAGTAGAAATTTGTTAAGCCTTGTAAAGTCCTTGCTGACACTAGTGTCTCCGTGCTTAATGTTTATTCAGATTCAATACATAGTTGGTACGGTGTATATTTGATTGTACTTACATATCTACGTTGTATGTTGTATATATTTATATTTAAATCACCTTGTCATCTTTGTTCAATCCTGAGTGAGATGTTATACTGCCTATAGTTGTTATGGAGTCAGACATTTCTAAACCGAATCGTGCACACAATATACACACATATGCCATTTCATGTATTAATGCATTATAACTGTTATAATATCACACTTAATTGTTTTCACAAGTCATTGTGATGAAACGATTATTATTAATAAAATTTACCAGTCTGATGAAATAAATTTTATTTCAATGTCAATTATTGTTGTCTGTGTTTGTCCCACGAACATACACTACATATGTATTTGGTTTTGAATCTGTGCTGTGAGTTGCACACCTGACATAAAGATTGAATCTTGTTTGTTTTCATTTCATGTGTGATTTAGTAAACAAGTTAAGAAATTTTTTCCCCCTAATTTTTGCTAGCCTTTGTGCAAGCTGATATACAATATATGTGATGAGATTCACAAGTCACATATCAAATGGAAATGGGTTTAAGATTCTGTTTAGGACATGGTTGATTATTCAGACAAATAAATGGACATTTTCTTGTCACACTTGATGTAATTTTAACTCTTTAACTCAAGGTAGTCGTGTAATGAATTGTTTTAACCAAAGTGTAATAATGCCTCAAATGAAATGGTGTCGCCATCTTTGATACTCCAGAGGTACCGCTTGCTATCACTCTCTGCACCCCCGAACATTTCCAGGCAAAATTGAAGGTTCCATGTGTGATAACTTGTGGATAAGACAAGACTAGCCTAATCCTTTAATGGACATCAAACAAATCTCTGGTCACATAATGGTATGTTGTATGTACTGGCATTAAAGTTCAGTGTTGCTCCAGTTACCACAGGTACATGGAAAACACCACAAGGTATGCTGGAGACAGCAGCTCCACAAGGTGTGCTGGAGACAGCAGCTCCATGAGATTCATAGACTGAAGCACTACAAGAGAGACCATACACCATGAGGTACAAAGACAGTAGAGCCAGGAGGTACACAGAGGCGGTAGCGTCAGGTGGTGCACAAAGAAGGTAGTGCCACAAGGTACATGAACACAATGATATCACTATGAGGTACACAGATGGTAGCCTCACAAGGTACATAGACATGTTAGTGCCACGAGTTACACATGGATGGTAGCTTCAAGAGGTAAAGACAAAATAGCAATAAGAGGTACACAGACACTGAAATGCCACAAGGTACACATAGTTGGTAGCACCTTGAGGAACACAGAGATGGTAGAACCACAGTCCGCAGGCATATTAGTGCCACAAGGTACACACACGGTAGCGCCAGGTCGACGACAATTGTTTTGTAAGTAAATGTATGAATGTTGTTCTTAAAACATCGGGCCTTTTTCGTTTAGATTTTTTAATTTTCCTCCCAAAATTCCCAACTATCTTGAAAGGTTAAAATGAAAAGGTATATATGTCTTGTTTGAAATTCCAAGAATTAGTAATAGCAGGGAATCGCTATATGGCTGAAAAGTGTCAAATTTGAACCCTGGATCATTTGAATAGAATTCTACCCGTCACTCAACAGTTTTTATACAAACTGCACGTGCTCCAGAAAAAATGGCGGTCATGGCTGGTCGACGCTCACAGGTGTTGTATACGCTTCACCTGTGTAAGGTACAAGAAAAGAAGTGTATATCTTTAGTTCTCTCGTCCCACCAAGATAAACTTTCATTTCATCACGGAAAGTTCATCGAAAGTTTAAGCAATAACTGGTCGTTCCAACCGGTCTACCTGGAAAGTTGAACTCGAATTCAACACTTGTACACCAATTACAAAATTGGTTGAAAAGTAGCTACGACCATCCATCAACATCGCAATATCGATCAATGGCGAAATCCAAATGCCAACGTGCGTATCTGTTTTTAGGCTACCGTACAAAAGACTGATTAAAGGATGTGTGTCCGTGTGTCTTATTTTTATTTTGTCATAAGCCCCAGCAAAGGCTTTACACGTTGGTATTTAAATTTGCAAGATCGTCATGACTTTTTTTTTAATATGAAAAAAACTATCGTGTCTTGTTCCACCATACTCAATACCAAGTGAACGGCGAGAGCAGGTCAGTAGCGTACGGGACAGACCCTGCGTCTGCATGGTAAACCTCAGTTTGTCGTCCGATTATATGATATTACGCTCGCAATACAGATGGATCTAGTTGTTTATATCGTGCTTTTGTCGATTTCGTCGATTCTGTTTCATATTATGCGGTGATTTGTTTCAGTAAAGCGTGACGAATATCGTTTGATGATGATAAATTGATAATAGAGGTAGATTGTTTAACTTGATATCGACAATGTGCATTGCATAATGTATAGTTTGTAAGTATATGAATAATCCATGAATACACGTGTGTTCCGATGTAGAATTTCACCTGTAATTAGTGTTACGGTCATTGTTTACATTTAACTGCTGTATCCATGTATATTGATTCGTCCATTTTTTAAACGAAGAAAGTAACCCGGATTTCAATGTCTTCATGATAGAAAAAGGTTTGATATTCAGATACACATGTACTCGAGTATTTTTGTTTTCTGACAAAACTTTGACGATCTCACCAATTCACAAATAAACGCCACAGAAATAAGGATCAATATTGGTATTCACCCTTCACATTTGGACTTTTAAGTAAACAGTCAATTTTCCTACAAACCATTCTTGTGTATGAAGTAGAACATATGGATCGTGGGAGGTGGAGGATGATAACTTCGTCAGACAGGCAGGTATTTTGTTTCTTGAATAAAACAAAATCATGCAAATGTTTTACAATGACTGATTAGTTAAGGTTAATTACGAGGATAATCCCCGAAGCCGCAGTTGTGGAGCGTCGAAAGGTGGCGTTCTTCGCAGCAACAGGCCGTTAAGATTATTTATATGACTATAGAAGAATCGTTTAGCTAATTACGTATCCATGAATTTCTAAAATACAACAGGCAATAAAGAAATAGAAATGAAAATGCAAAACCCATTGCATTTTAATTTTCTTAATTGCGGGTTAGAATTTTAATTTAACTTAATTTAAAATCACATAACTCTTTACGAGGCCGACACGAAGTCCATAGCATTTGGAATTTAAACATTAGCAGGAACACGGAGAGAACATCGAGCAATAATAATTCCTACACAATACGTATCAGGAACGGCAACTGTGTGGTTGAGATTTTGAATACATTCTGACCACCCAGAGTTACTTCCCTTCATTTCGTTCCTACCGGCTAATATCGTCTTGACTGAAGACACGATATCGCAGCTAATATTATGTGTGGATTCCGTTAAATATTTCTTCAATGAATTATTTTATTTTAAGTCTAATGAAATGTGTGACAAGATTGTCTATCTAAAAAGATTTTGGTTCCAAGACGGGATAACAAGACATCTGGAAAAATAAGATAATAATTTACTTGTTAAAAAGGTTGGTTTAATGTATTTAAAGTTATACAAATGCAACATATTTTCGATAAATGCTCGCTGTATTATTATTTTTTTTAATTTTGATGGTACAGCGATATATGCTTGCACATATTAATAGTTTCTCCAGAAAAGACAAATTATCAGAGTTATTTCCGTTAAATCCCTTTATTAGAGTTCTTCTCGTTTAACGCTTTCTACAATGGACTTTTGACCTTTGACCTCTTTCTCGCATGATTTATGTTAATTTTGTTACATGTTGTGAAATATTTGATAATTCAACGACAAAAGAAAAGTGTTTAAAAATACAATATCTAGTGAAAATTTAAAAAAAAAAATGACTAATGAAAGAAGAAGATATTGCCGTGTTTTTAAACGACAAATACATAATATTAAACAGATTTCCCTTTTTTCCTTATTTTTTGAGAAACCCTTCTTTCAACGGGAAAATATTCAGGTGGTGCCAGCACGGGCCACGGGAACATATGATGGATTGTATATCTTGAACAAGGATTCAGTTCGGAGCCTCTCCAACAATATAGACCAGAGTCACTGTTCCGAATGTAAGCTGCCATGATACCAAACCCACTCTCGGTGAGAATCAGTATATCACAATTGATCAACGCGTAAAAATCCATCATCATTTTAAGAAATATATCTTGTTGGTCAAGATTTTTTCGCTGAAGAATTGCATCAATATGCCCAATTTTACCATCTGTGTTGACTATATTTTTTGGATAACGATTTGTAGCCCTTTTAACAACTCTGTCGTCATCCGTTGCTATAAAAATATCATACACATTTTTATCTAAAATATCCAAGAAATTCCACAAAATTTCCAGAGGTTGTTGATGCCTCGGAGGGTCATTAGGGATGGTTGGACTTTTCCCAATACGAATATGAGCACAAGCTGTCTTAGGTCTATACCGTATTTGTGATTTTAAAGCGCGGGAAAGTGTCTCAGATGGTTTGAATAAATAATTGTAGAGTTCCTTATAGATGTCTGCAAAATGCAACTTTGTTATCCACGGAACCTCGCTTCCAATGTGCGGCCTCGATCTGATCACATCTGTAAAGTCCCAATTCATGTGTATTAAATTAATATGACTTTTGAAGTATTTTGTTAAATTCTTTTCACCAGAAAGATATTTCTTTGCTCGCAACGATTTTCTATTTAGGAGAACATAATTTTTTTTGTCTGTTTTGACGAAATTACTTGAATTATATCTCCAGTCATATTCTTTAGGAGCCAGAAAGTCGGCAAGAAGGCAGGGGTTGTTATGGTGAATTAAAAACTGTTGTTTTGTGATGAGTGATATTACAAAGACAGACAGAATTCCGGACAATCTGTCCGACCATCCGCCACAGGAGTGATCTTTGCTGCATGCGTAGACGATGAATCCATTGTTATATGATTTTGGTACAGAGTTTAAAAGTAGTTCATGGTTGGTGATCAAGGAGAGAGTTCTTGCCTCATCCTGTGATTTAGCTGAGGAAATGGCGTCATTTCCTTTCAGGATCGTCTGCAATGGCGGCAAGTACCAGTACAGGCAAAGCAACGCTGGGTATAGCACCAGTAGGGAACAGTTCAAGAGTCTCTGAAAAGACGAATGAATAAAAACTAAAATTAATGTTAGTACGGCAGACACAAACGCCAGAAAAACAATTATATATATAAAAGTGATCTGTTGAAATGATGTAATGTTAATGTTGGGTTATACTCAGCTTGGAACCAAAATTTAATCTAATGACTGAATGACTGAAACGAACATACGGCAGATTAAGCTCGCTCACATAATTTGCATATCCGCCATCTTGAATTTTGAATATACTATAAAGGTATAACAGAGAACGGATGCATTTTCAAATTAACGGGGCCGGGCACATTTACACCAGTCAATTATTACACCTGACACCATTCGAAATGCATTGATATTAAAAAATATCATTATGTTATCTTTTCGAGGTTCCCACGAGAATCACAAAACTGAAGATCTTCGTCGTCATGTTACAATATGGCATGATTTCCCTGTTTTCGATGACTTTGGATGACATCACTGGGTTGTATTCTTGAGAACGGCCAGTTTCACCGTATGTAGTATACAGAACCGGCTCTATATTTACAGATTCCAGAAACAATACCAAAGAAGCAGATTGAAAGGTTACTGAGACCTTTGAAATGGTCAATAATGCATTTGTGCTCCAAAGTTGACCTCCAAAGTTGACCCCCAAAGAGGTCAACAACGAGGTAATTAGACTTATAACTTGCAAGAACGGTATGATGAAAAAAAAAAAATCACCAGGTATTCTTGACCCGGTGTCACCGTTCAACCGTTTTTCTTAACAATAATTAGATAACTGCTGTATATGAGGCTATCAGAAGGGCTATCACACCGAGCGTTTGTAAACTTATAAAAAGTCTATCACATTTCAAATGTAAATGTGACTGCCGAATTAATTTCAATAACTATTGAACAAGTGCAGTTGTTGAATAGATAGCATAAATTTACATTTCCTATGCATTAAACTGCATTCACATTATTTTACAAATAAAAAGGAATGAAGTATTGTTTCGCCACTAATCTAATATTGGAAACAGAGTAAAAAATAAATAAAGAAAATATATTTAAACCTACTCTTATCCTGTTTTCCTGCTTCCCGCTTCTCAAGTTTCGCTGACGTCACAAATATTTTGACGCCGTTATTTCATGAATATTAATAAGCTGAGCAAGCCTGTTTCTCTAAATTTGTAAGGGGTACAGATGTCATGCTGTAATGTCAAGAATAAATGACAACTTTGGTGTTTCCTAGGAAACCGAGAGAGAAAGATGTTATTTCTCTTACACTTGGTAGACTTCAAGTTACCATGACATGAAGTTATGTTTTCGTAACGGCAGTTTGGTTATATTTTATCTCAAAGAGTTATCGCCCTTTGTGCTTTGAATTATTTCAATCCTAAGGTTTAATTTAAACATATTTATTGCCACAAAATGAACAAGTGATTAGGTACAAGTTATTGGAACTTATCGACACCTTCTCCAAATATGCATTTTAAATGGCATTACAATACTGACAATACAAATATACAGTGATTGTTACAATTTTTACGTCAATATCCAGACTAACATGAAGGATGGTTCAGTGAAACACTTTCAAGGTTTGGATCGTGTGGTGACTATAGATATATTTGACATAAAAAAAGAAAAAATGCATTAACATGTATGAGGGCATCAAAAAATCATTTATAATTCATACTTAAGATTAGATCACTCGTAAGATTTGCTCTTGATTTACATGAAATGTCGATACCACTTGACAGAGATTAAGATTTCGTTATGTTTTCAACCCGTCGCTTTAAAACTTGGCATGCTTTTATTTACCATTAGAACATATAGCATCGTTTCTCTTTTGTTGAGTTATTGTTACTACTTCGATATTTGTTTTCTTTCCATACAATTTTTTTTTCTTTGGCATTGAATGAGCATACATTGTTCCGCCCCGCGGTATACTGTATAAGTATTGCCAATAAAGTGTAAATATCTCGATCTAATGCTAACGTGTGACCAAGTTTTCCTGCCAAGGACTGTGTCAAATATTTGTTCTAACCTGAGATATTGATTGTCAAATAAAATTATTATAATGGGTAATGGGACAACTGACGGAGAGAAATTTATAAGAATGCGTGTGAAAAATTAACCAGCAGTGAGAAATATTTTTCCTTTATATTTTAAGGTTACTTTCCTATGAAAGTCCGTTTATAGCGTGATAACTAACTGGTCAAACGGTATATCAGCCTCGAGAGGTGTGGCAAGTTTATTTAGGAAAAAAATACACTGAAGTGACAAGAGATAAAGATGGGCGTTGTATTATACTTGCATTTCAACATGAGGATTATATCATAACTTTTGGCACGACATATATACTGTCGAAACTCGTTATCTCGAAATTCAAAGGACCGTGGAAAATACTTCGACTTATCCGTATTTCGACTCAAACGAAGTGTATGAATAAGGTTGACGATATCAATTTCCTTGCGTTGATTACAGTTGGACGAAGTAGGGCTACGATAGCACGCAAACAGCATAGTATAATCTGATATTTGAGATGGCAGTAAATAAACAAATGATTTTATCCTACTTTCTCATTTCATTGTTAATGATATAGAAGGGAGAAATCGGGACTCAACTGTACGTACTACTACCAAGGAAAAGAAATTTCTTCATAAGTCGATGGAACAAGAATTAGCATGAAACAAGTACAGTAGGAATACACTGAGATTTTAATTGTGACGACCCAAATGATATTTACTGGTCTCATGACATACTATTGAATGAGGTCATAGAGGAGCATGCTCCTATGAAAAAGAGTCGTAATAGACCTAGCAGACTGCCATATAGGAATGGTAACTTACGGCGGGCTATTCACAGGAAATGCATGTTTTTTAAATAAATATTGTAAATACAAAACTACAGAAAAGTACAGGCAGCATTGCCTTACATATTCTTTCCGCCTTCTGCAGATTTTTCCTCCTATCCCTCAGTGTAGCTCTCAAACCAATGAGTCCAAGCTGTTCTTCATGGTTTGCCTTCTTATACTGCCTTGTGATGCTTCTGATTTCTCTTTCCTGAGAGTCTCAATCTCTCGCTGTCGTCTACTGCTGGTAGTTTGTTCATTGCTCTTATTGTCTGCTTTGGCTGTTCCAAACCATTCTTTACCAACTGTATATGCAATTTTTGATAAGGCTGCTATTTTCTTATCCACGTCTTCAATTAATGTGCCTTCCAGAATCTTGTCCAAATCATCATCGAAGGCTTCCCACTGTTTGTCGTCGGCTGGTGGCCATTTCACTCTGTCCCTTCTAGTCAGTGACTGCCTCCCTGCATCCACCTGAGGAAGATTTGTGTTCACTGGTTCCTCCCCTATGCTGGACTGTGTAACATCAGGAAGTAAGAGGTCCTCAGTACTGTGGTGTTCATCCTGACTGATCCTCCTCCGTCTGACCAGTTATCACTGTGCGTTCTGCCATTAGCTTCACAGACCCTGTTTTGTTTCAATCCCGTCAGGTTTTTGCAGACTTTGCCACACTGACACCTTGTTTCTGCAGTAACAGAGAATATTGGTCAGGGGTTGGAAAATGTAGATATGGAAACACACAACAGTATAGTTAATATTCAGAACCTTGTATCCTCTTCTTCTGGTTTCTCCTTTTCCCCCGTCACAGATAGTGAAGTGCGTAAAGTTTTATCCAAATTGCCAAAGAAAAAAGCTACAGACGTTGACGGCATATTATGCAGAACTCTGAAGTCTTGTTCTTGTTCCTGCTCTTTCGAATTTTCTATATCAGCAAGTGTATTTTTCCAGACCGTTTGAAGTATGCTCAAGTGACTCCAGTTTTCAAGAAAAATGATCCTTTAATCAAATGTAATTACAGACCAGTCAGCATTCTTCCTAGTATTTAAAAAAATTGAAAGAATTCTGCATGATCAGCTGTCAACATTTTTAACAACATATTTCATCCCTTTTTAGCGGCCTATAGGACCGGTTTCGGATGCCAGACCACCCTGCTGCGCATGATGGAGGACTAGCGACAGGCCTTGGACGGTCACAACTATGTTGGGGCCATTCTTATGGATCTTTCCAAAGCCTTCGACTGTCTTCCTCATGACCTGTTCCTCAGGAAGCTCTCATCTTATGTGGTATCGACTGAGGCTGTTAGTCTCATGAGTAGCTACCTAGGGAACAGACTGTATTAAGGAGGCTACTTTGTACAATTGTGTTGATGATAACACTCTGGGCTATTTTAACAAAAGTATTGAAAGTCTGAAAGAGGTGTTAGAGAATGGTTTGAAAGGAATGGCATAAAAGCGAACCCAGATAAATTTCAGTCAGTTCGTTTAGGATAGAAAGCCTTCCATCACTTCAGAAAGCCTTCCATCACTTCACAATAGGCAATTCCACCATTTTTATTGAAGTTTGATAAACATATCTCTTTTATTTGTAGACAAGTCTCCAAACAGTTAGCAGTTTTGAAGAGGATTGGACTTTATCTAAATCTGTTAAAATGTTAATTTACGAGAGTTTTGTATTGTCGAATTTTAATTACTGTCCCCTTGTTTGGCATTTCTGCAGCGTCTCGGCAACAAGGAAAATGGAAAAGGTGCAAGAAAGGGGCTAGACACAGAGTTTACGTACGCATAATATATATATTATGCGTACTTTAGGAGTTGTTGTATATATATATATATTTATACACAACAACTCCTAAAGTTAAGAAAATTAAATCATTTAAGGAAATTCTTACAGTTAAATCAAATTATAATATTATAATCATATGATTTAAGACGTGAATATTTCATTTTGAAGTCAAAATGACGAAACATTACAATTAAATAGCATGATAATGTTGTAGGATTCTGACGATGAAAACTATTGAATTTAATCTAAAATCCTCTATCTTATGTGTTGTATTATTTTGCACTACACCTTAACATATTTCTTAAATCATTGAATTATAAAGAGAAAATACCTGTAGCCTATAGATAAATAAATGAAGCGCAAAAAGAAAAAAAAATAACCGATGTATTAAAATGAAACTCCAGTGATTGTTGATATTCACTTACTCAGAGCTATGTTTTGATGATAGCTTTGCTGCTATGTTTAAATGAAGTTTATATTATAAAATTCATTCCGTTAATTACATATAAAAGCTTTCATTTCGAAGATATCAAATGTACTTCTATCAGCAACAGTATAACTGTTTACAAACAACAGTCAGTCTTAATGACTCATCGACAAACACACATTGCTGCCAGTTGTACCTGTTCAGCGATGGGACTTGGAAAATGTCCTTGAACTGAATTTATGTGCCATTTTTACCTAAAAATGACAACTTCTAAAATAAAGTTTGGATAGCGGGATAGAGCAGCCCCCCTCCCCCAACCCACTCACACAAACATCACACACACACCTACACACACACACATACATACATACATACATACATACATACACACACACACACACACACACACACACACACACACACACACACACACACACAAAACACAACACACCCCCCCCCCCCCCCACACACACACACAAAAACACACTACACTCAGCCCGCAACCATGAAGATACCTGGACACGAATAGTCACACAGACACTACACAAAATCCAGTATTATCATATCCCATCCATAAATCAAATTAGACAAAAGATTATCATTATGTTACGGCTACGGTCGCAGAGGTTACAACTTTGAGATGATTGGTCCAACGACAACACAATACTTAACATTGTTTTACATTGAAGATAGACCGACAGTGTGTATAGTACATACCTTTGCTATACCTGACTGCGTAAAACACGCACGAGTTTGGCTTTGTATAATCAAATACACAATCGTATCAAAATATATATTTGACAAACCGTTTTTCATCATAACTTGTGACATGTACACGCAGCATATCGGCTAAATAACAGGGGCTTGTCACGAATTTTTAAACCTTTGTTAAGTTGCTTAGTTGGGATCTCGTAACAAACCCTTGAGCTGTATGCCTTGAAATGACGTTATATTTCTCGACATAGGATCGAACGGTGATTTCTGAATTTTCTTCATGCCACTGTAGTTTCAATTCTTCATCAAAAATATGATGTTTTATTTTCATTAAAACCTTTTTGTTAAAAGATTACACCTTTTTCTCATACGGATCCCTATATACACATGTACTGTCCTTAAAGCCCCAATATACGTAACATTCACCAAAAATTTAGTGTAGAATCACACATGATTATTGAGATATTCTCTAAGATGTAGTTAGAATTAAGTTATTCAAACAATAGTTACCACGAATTTGTGCATAAAGTATTGATATATACACACACACCCGTATATTTACGTATATTGGGGCTTTAAGTAAATGTAAATCTATGTAAAAATGAAATTAATTGAAAGTTGTGGAAGGACGTATGTTGTAATTACGTTTGTCCTAAACATTTGTCTTTTGTTTGTAATGAAATAGATTTAGACTACACTAAGACTTTTTTGTTAGTAGCAATGTAAGCAACAACGAAAGCGCCCATCATGTGTAATTTGTAAACATTATCAAGAAACACTTGTATTTAAAAAAAAATACTTACATTTTTGGTAAGGAATACATATTTTTCCATATTGTGTAAGGTGGTATGAAAAAATGTATCACTTGAGTATTTTCTCCACCAAGGTTTTCTATAGCAGTTCACACACCTAAGGATTGGACGTTGTGGGTATGAATGAACAATTTGTGTCTCTTTAAAAGCAATTAATTACTAGGACAAATACCTTTCTAGGTCAACATCTGGCTTTGTCCATTTAAATCCCTAACATTGGTATGAAGCGTTATGATAACATGTATCTGTAACCAGGTGTACTTGAACCACCTAGTCCTGGGCTTGTTCTTCTGGGACCACCTAAAGAAATTTTATCATATTGTTATTCATTATTAAGTCGTAATTACGAGATAAAGAAGTCGTATTTAAGGCTCATTACCCGAACACCAACTCTGCCAACTTGAAAGAAAGGTGTTTATATAGAGAATCTTTTGAAGCTAAAGTTATAGTCTGTTTCAACTAAAAATTTAAACTTATTTTGTAAATAGGATACTTACATATCAAATGAAATAGATAAAATTGTAACACAATTTTTTTAGCATATAAATGTATCATAAAATAGTTAATATTTAATATCATTATTCATTATTTAATTGTTATCAAGTAAGATGATGTTTGATTAATAAATAAAATCACATTGATATACTGATGTCAGCAATTGAATTAACTTTATATTCATACATGTAATAGTGAATAAATATGCACATTTTAGCACTAAAATAAACTATTATTTAAAAGAAACAGTAAACCCCTCAATGAAGCAGAAGTAGCATTGACTCGTTTATCTATGACAATACATTATCCACTTTATCTAGACATTATGTCCTTTTGCAACCTTTGATAGTCAAGTACTAGATAAGTCTCTACTAGAAAATACAAAACACTCTTTCCAAGATGGAGAAGCTCGAGTGCTGAAGCAGCAGGGTTGAATGGTACCGTCTGCGTCTCTCTGAATCCGCCTGATGTTCTGTATGTCCTTTAGTGTCTGGATGATGGTGTAGATGTTGGGGTGGGCATGCAGTACATTCTTCTTCAGTTTCCCGTGCCAAGCTTCAATATGGTTGGTAATCCTTGATCCCTCTGCTGATGATTGTTTCCAGGTTGTTCGATCTCTCTCTATCAATTACCCTGTGACGTAATCTGTAGATGACAACACGGGATGTGGGATGTCAGCATTGTCAGCTTACTCAAGAGTTTGTAACCAGACATCCTCAATGTGGCAGAACAGCAGCTCGGCGTACAAGTAGTTTGACGTCATGGTTGTCACGGTACAGTGTCTGGAGTCCGATTGACTGGGCCTTTCGCCCAATGCAGTGGGTGTAGTGAAAAAACATCCCAATGTTGTCTACTGTCGAGAGGGATGCTGAACAGCCTGCGGTCGAACGTCTCCAGAATGTCCTGTTGCCGCTCTTTCGAATCTGTCTGCACTTGGATCCATTAAGCCAAAGGTTCTGTCCGCCTTTTCTGTTGGTGATGAACTTACGTTGATCTGAGCGTTAGCCATCCTGTACTTGTATCAAACCACACAGATAATAATATCACTCAAATTAAACACACCTTACACAAAGCTGAAACAAGTACAAGATTAACTAGCATATATAACAAAAGTTATGATAATTTACACTAAACTGAAAAAGTACAAGATTAACTAATATATGTGTGACAAAAGTTAAGTAATAAATCAAGCAATGAGAAATTGATGCTTCAAAGTGCAGATTGAAATATGACAATTCTCCAAAATGTACTGGGCCTTTATTTTTCCTATTGAACAGCCTGGGACTGGAACAGTTTTATATTTGATTCCTTTATTTTACAGGTTATGAACAGTTTTCTGAATAGTTATCAGAACGTGATTACTGATTTACCTGTACAAGTTACCTGTACAACAATTTTGCACCAGACTATAACTCACTATCATTACAGCTGACCTCCTATGTAAACACGTTGTCATAGGCAGAGTTGGTGTTCAGGGAAGACCCTGTAATTACGAGAAAAAAGCTCGTAATTGCGACATGTTCTGCCTCTAAAAGGTTCATATCAGCACGCGACATAGTCCGCCTTGTGTGCTTCTGATCAACTGTCAGAAGTCTTGGTACCAAACGAGCTGTGAGCTTTCTCATTGCAATAATGTCCTCTC